AATTCACAGGGTGTTCATTGTTCGGAAAAATTTATGAAAACACCGAATCTTGCGTGAAGCACAATTTTTATTTGATAATACCGAAAAAAAAAAAAAAAAAAAATTTTTTTTTTAACTGGTGTTTGGCAAAATACCAGATCCTTATGTTTATTAATCTAATTCATGTTTTTCAGAAACAATATACTATACAGATAATCTATTTTCATTGTAATATTTAATATCTGCCCGATACACATGGGGATGTGCAAAACAAACATTCCTTTTTCCAAAGGGGGTTTTCATTGATGAGGTAAGAAAAAAAAAAAGGTTTGTCACTCTTCCCGTAAATGTGTTCATTCACGATTTGATTCAATGGTCATCATCATCTATTCACTCATCCTAGAAAACAACAATATTGTATCACTACCCTTTCGATGGTGACCTCACACCACACATAACCTCTATGAATCTTTAAAGTATGGACAATCAATTAGGTTTTCCCCTAAGGATTTCTCTTTCCTTTCTAAATGTTTAATTATTATATAAAATACTAAGATTTTCTAATGACAAATGTAAATTCCGTTCGTACTAATATGTCTATGATGTAAATTTCACAATGCTATCATATAATTTATTATTGCTATTTTATTTATTTATTTATTTTTCCCTTTCTTCGTTTCTCTTTCGTTTTCGTTTCTTTAATATGACCTTTCTCAAAAAAAAGTAATTAATCCATAATTTCTTGCGTGATTTCCTTTAATCTAATAATAAATAATAAAAACCACAATTTTTCAATGTAAATGGGTCGGGTGGGTCTCACAAAATATTTGACAATGTGGACGTTACGTAAAGCTAACATCATGATGCGTGAGAATGTGGGGTTTGTGCTTTTTTTTTTAAAAAAAAAAAAACCCCCAGGCCCAATCAACTTATCGGAGAGATGAATTTATGAATGAATACGAGAATGGTGAACTGAATTACGATTTATTTTTTTTAATAAGGTTTGTACAACGGATTATCCGTGTTTATTGTTTTTTGCACAATGATTGTTTTTGCAATCGGAACAATGGATCAATGGAAATTTGTGGATGCATCAAAGCCTAGAACCAAGGGTCTCTGGGTAGAGTCAGTTGACAGATTTGAAAAAAATCCTGTTGGTCGATTTGTGTTATAAAATCATCGGACATACATGAATTGTCCGCATCGTGAGAATCTCACTACACTTCTCGCAAAAATTTTCGGATATGCATTTGCACGGAAGCATAATAAAACTTTTTCACGAGTGACGACATGGCACAATATGACGTTCAACGCGTTCCGCGATACCCGGTATTTTCTGTATAAAAGACAATGTGCCATTAGATTGTTAGAGTGCAACCCAATTTGGATTTATTTGTCAAAGCAGTCGATCGTCACTGTGATCTTCAGATTACAGCAATGGGAGGTTTAGAGGAAACACACAAATGAATCGTTTCCACCTTTTTTGACAATATTAATGGCAAGACAAGAAAGGCGAATGATAAATTGGACTAACGTGCGTGGTAATCCTGAGATCTTAGAGTCAATCCTAATATCAATGACCAGTCGCAGCGCTTGTGTTCGGTGAAACTATGTAACGGCAGGCAGTTGAAATTTGAACAGCTGATCGTGTTCTCTGCGCAGAAACATGTAAGATCATGAACAACCTATAAACGAACAAACGCACAGGTCAAAACTTTGCGAAATCGAGATTGATGTAGTCGTCACACTCGCGGACCTTGAGAAACCTTGGGTAGCTCAACATCACACGCACTTCATTGAACGCAAATAATATCGGAAGTTTCATACCTTTGGAAAACGGACTAAACAACTTAATCCATTATTCCATTTCCGATGTTGCAATGCATATATTTCGCCGTGGACGTATGACAAAATATAAATGGACAGAAACGCTATGCGCCATTGGTGGTATTCCATGAAACACATTCCGAGAAAACGTTCTATTTTCTTTTCTTTTATGAATTATTATATCATTCGTGTTTTCTTGACTCATTTCCGAATTTCGAATTTTGATGGTTTCAAAAGATCTCGCACCTACAGTCGGTTATAATTGCTGGAACCGATCCGAAATGTAAAATTTGATTTTTACACTATCTCCGGTTTTTCTTTTTTAATAAAAGAAAAAAGTTTTTCCGAATATTCTCATTGGGAAATACGGTGACATATTTAATATTTTCCCCAAATTAGCCCCTGTCGATCTTGTCCGAATAATGCATTAACTACCATTGTGTCAATCGGAGATATTGTTACACCACATCCCGGATGGCTCAATCTTTTTTGTCATAAATGGTTAGGTCCGGCTATTAATCACATGATTGTTTAAAAATGGACATTTTGTTTTTGCTTATATCATCAATAAACGGAGAATGCGTGGTGTTTTTGGCGAAAGAACGAGAGAAAGTGACACCGTGCCTAAAAGAGAAGGATGCTTGATGTTTCGATCATTCCTCGAACCATTTTTTTTCGGCAAATTAGCATCACGTGACATATTCCCTAAAAAAGACGTCTAAATGAGGGGGAAGATAGAATTCGCATGCATGCAATGCAACGATAACCCGACAAATTGAAATCATGTCTTTTGATTATCGTAGACGGGCATTATTTTTGCTGTCACTAACCTAAAACGTGGAAAGAAAGCAATCATGACGCAAAACATCGAGCTTGAACGGAACCTCGATACTAAAAAAAAAAAGCACCCTCCTTCGACCAAGGCACGCATTGCACGCGGTGCAAAAAAAAAAACGAAATTGCTTTCCCCAGTCAAGCAAGCGTAACCCTCAACAAATTCGCACGGCACACCGTTCGTGACTCATAATTTGCACAAAATCTTTGCTCAGGAAAATAGTCTCATGTGACCGAAGTAAACAAATAAATAAATAGACAAGCCGAGTAATGCCGTATTAAATGGAATGCATCTTTTTACGTCCAGATAATTGATGTCTTAATTCCAAGACAATTTGTGTGAGAACACACAACCAAGTGTTTGTGTATGTGAGCATCATACGGTTTTTTGGTCCCTGCATAACGAGTCTCCCCACTTTCTACGATAATGAAAGGGCATCTAATTTATCTGCCATAACCTTGCACTACACAGTATTGTTAAAGAAATGTCCCACGAGCTCGTGATTATGCCCCGTAAAGTCAAGAGAATAAGTAAGATTGGTACTTTGTGGGGGTGGGATCTGATAAAGAAAGACGACGATAGAAACATGCAACCGTAGTGTATGACTAATGGTCATTTATCGAGAAACAGGTAAAATCCAGCGGGAACACCGAAAACCTTGTGTAAATTATTCCATTGGAAAGGGTTACACGTAAATTTGCGTTGACAAATTGAGAAACATTGATTACCATTGTTAATCAACAGTATTAGTATGCTTAATTCAACAACAAATAAAAAGATTAGTACACAGTAAAGTAACCAGACATGAAAAAAAAAAGGTCGGCCTTAACTCTAAATTAAGATCACGTGCATAAATATCATTTGGTTTGATCTAGAATCATTATTCATAATTTAGTATCAAAAAATTCCAGATCTCCACAGTCATTTGTTTTCACTGACCGAACGATTGGTTTTCGAGCGGTAATGATCTACCGTGATTTCTCAATGCTCGCGGACCAATACGGGACACCCGGTTGCTCAACAACTTGTACGGAATTAAAAAATAGATGGGTTAAATGGATGCGCATTTTCAAGCGAGCATCGGCATAATACACAGCCAAATGATGTAATAATACAGTACCAAATAAGTAGGAATAATAAAATAGAGCATCGTAAGATAATAATCAAAGCAACAATAACAACAATAATAATCGTGATTTTATTTATCAAATGAACTTTGTGTAGATTGATTATCAACAATTATTTCGCACTACTATGTTGCAGTCGCAGTTTTTCACAATAAAAAGGAGGATTCTGATCGCTTCTCCCTTGTGACCAATTATTTATTCGATTTCCCTTGTTTACCTTTTCGGGGAAAGTGATATTTCTTATTAGTAAAAAAAAAAAAATAAATGTCAGCGTTGATTACATATCATGGAAATGCAAGAATCTCCATTTTAGGCTGCTTCCTTATCGCAAAATGGCCTTCTCATATTTGTTGCTGTAGGGCGTCTTCTAAAAAAAACTTGTGTAAATCCGGATCACGACCAAACATGAACAAGTGACTGAACACAACCTTTACATAACGAACGTTCGTCAATCATTCTACATTGAACAAATTTTTCTCTTCCTGGAGGATTTACGCGGGTTAAACCATTTACTGCATGTTCCATGAACTGTACCCAACCATATGCGTCGATAGGTGGGTGATGAGTAGGTTGATTGATGAACAGACGATTTACTGTAACTTAATCTATATGTGTCAATCACCGATAAACCCGATTCGCTTGATCACAATAATCGCAGAAACCGACGGTGTTTGTGTGTTTATTAAAGTCATCAATCAGTTAATCGAACAACAAATCATTAAGTTATAGGATCACAAAATTCTCATTCGTGTTCCATTCCGCCAAGGAGGGAACAATATTTAATGGTTCTGTGGTATTGTTGATTTTCTTTTTATTTTCCTGGCACGCGTAAACTTTGGCACTTGATTTTATCGCTAGTTATTTCTTTTTTAGGATCTGTTTTCTCCAAAAACTTTGAATCACGAGGATTGTGATGGTTACAATGATCACGGTGGTCACATTAATTCACTCGGACTTGAGCATTACTAAAATTAGTTACGTCATTCTTTGTTTACACTGCCCGTGATGTCTCATTTGTTCTCTGTCGTCGTATAATTATTTTTAATTGCGTAAATAGCATCCCAAACATACATTTGCATGAGGTTTCTGCAAACATCACACTTGAGAAACGCCGCTGCAATTGATTATGATGGGAATCAAATATGGGAATTCTCAAAACCGCAGGAAAGGGGTTAGTTAGGTTATATGAATTCCAAAAGGAATTTCATAGTAAACAACCAACCCGTGAACCGTCAGGGATCCTGCAAAAGAAAAAAGAAAACACATGTTAAATATGGTTAAATCGCTTATCGAGTTAAATTATGTACGAGATTCGAACGTGAGCGATGTTGTTTTGGTGTACACACTTGTCCACTATAGGACGCGTTGAGTCCCTGAGTCCGCGGTGATACGTGGTCAATTTCAATTTATCCATGAAAATGCACAATCAATGAAAAAGGTGGAAAACCTGAATTTGACATTCGTGAGACGTCCGGACGAATTTTCAATTTTCCTCGTGAGTCGCTTCGCCTTCTCGGCTGAGTATTGTTTGATTGCAATAAACAGGGAAAATACATGTACATCATACTTTAAAAGTGTCAATGCATTCCCTTCATACTCCAATTCTAATGTCGTAACATCATCATCTCTTTCTTTTGACAATTCGAAAACCCAAGGCTAAGGTTTAGAGAAACTTTAAATTTCGTAGCGCATGTACTGTATAAGGCTGAATTAAAAAAATAACAATTGAACATTAATGGAAATATTGGTTATACCTATCATCAAAAATGGTTGGATGGTTCATTGTTATGTTGATCCATCTTTTCAGGACTGAATACTGCATTTAACCATCTATTGGACATACTGTATATAAAAAGATGGAATTATGAAAAGATTTTATTAAATGCGCAATATAATGTATGTGGGTATACGCATATTTCGAATTATTTCAGGTTGAATGTGTTAAAGAAATATGAGACGTGAGTGTATATAGCAACATATCTCCAAACGACGGGATTTTCTATACCTTCTCGCATGCATATTTTTTAAGGGTCTCAAGGAAGTTTTACGACAGACGCATGCATTGAATTCATGGGATTTGGATTCGAGGCGTGAGCTTGCTTGCATGTGAGACCATTCCGCAGGGTACGTAAAGATACTAGATATGTAAATGGTGTACACACACGCACGAGACATTAAATATTCCTGGTTGACGATATCCCATTCTTTATCGGTCACTCATTCTTACCGTCGTTCAATGGCAAAGAATTCTCTTTCTGCTTACAATTTTCACTGCAGAAAACGGATAATGACACACACACACGCATACACACACACACACACATATATATATATACGAGTATGTGCATAGACCATATTTGCTTTGGCCATTTCTTTAAGGAAGTTGATTAAAACAAAGGATTTGGGCAATCAACGTAACTGTTACACCACAGATGATGAATGCATGCAAACGGTATCTCTTTTGGTCTGATCACAACGCGAAGATGGTGTTTTTTGCTACGGCGGTTCCGTCTCCTTTTTCTTCTTGGAGAAGGGATTTGACTAAATATATACTGTATATATCTATTGGATAATAACTTGAGCGGCCGTTTTGATAGATCATGTGATTAATAATTTATGAAATCACGTGTATTTTAAATGATGCCGTGACACTTTATTTGCATGAGCCGACGCGCGTAATGTTGTTGGAATACAGTGTATACTGTGCGAATGAGGTTTTCTGTTGTGAGCGATTCAGTTTTGTACCAATGAGTATCTCAGATCCTCCGATAGGAACGACTCCGTTCGAAGACTTATTGCATGCGGTCTATCAAAAATTTTCGTTGCCTTGAAAAATAAAAAAAAAACTTTCATTTTTTCTTTGATAAATCAACTCCAAGTAAAAGGTGGCTTGGCATGAGATCTCATGTTTGAATTCTGAGGCGACCACAGTAATTTAATTTAATCGCTCACTGTTGGCAAACAAATCGGAAAAGTCCGCTTGTGAAATATACAAATTCAAAGCCCTCCGATACAAGAATACCAATTAAAAATCCTTAATATTTCGGAATCCCCATATTGATTCATGTGTAAGAAAATAAAGAACTCATCGGAATTGCTTTCTTACGTGCGAGATTTGCAGTTGAAACAGATACGCGTGATATGTTATTAGGTAAATGGATTGGAATAAACAATATTCAAATGGATCCCTTAAATGCTTCGATTGTATGCGTTCTAAATGAATGGGTTTTTGGAATATGCCACTGCATGAATGTTTGAAACGAATAAAACGTACAGATCACTTTTATCACAATTTCTCTGTTTTCTTGATGACAATATTTTTATTCGGTCATATTGCGGAGAGGTGAATGGCATGAGAATTACTGTACCTTTATTTGCATGACAGGTAATTTTGCGGCAACTGAATATCACTCATTACTCATGAAACTTTGAATGTGGGAGGGCGTTTGTGAATTTATTAAGACGCGTTGACTTTTTTTAGTTTTATTGGTTACTAAGGTACGCTTGATGACACGGTGTCTTTGTCTTTTAATTCTTTTTTTGAGCAATAAGCGCTATATATGATGTACGCTTTCTTCTTCTTGGTAATACGGATTACGTAATCGACAATCTCCTTCCAAAAAAGGTAAAAAGGTTATGGCGCATTCATTTTGCACGTCCGAAATTTTTTGGAGTTTTTTCCCTATGACCTTTTTTGACACATCAAGGCAACTTTGATGAGCAATAAATACTGCAGACCAGCATCTCCGCATGATTATATAGCACGTGTTATAATAAGTCAAGAGGGAATTGGTGAACCAATTTGGTCATAATAGTATTATCGATACTTATTAATATATTCATATACTGTATTAACAAAAATAGTAATGATAATATGTCAACATTAGTATTAGTGGCATTAGCATTAGCATTAGCATAATTAGCATGCTAGTATTAGTATCAGGATTAACATTAACACTAACTAGTGTTAGCATTAGCATACCTTTTGACCTGATAACAAAAGTTTATTGGTTGCAGTAAAAATATATCAAACGTGACAAGGTTCTCGTGATCTTTTGCCATCTAATCTTCGGTTGAGAAACATGGAAGAACAAAACATAAGTAGGTTTGACTTGACTAGTTTATGAACATTCCTTTGATTAAAATTGCTCCTTCTTCCCATCAGACATTATCGCCGCACAAAAATACCAAATGTTTTTCAATGAGAAAAGGTCGTAACTCATCATCTTATACAGGAACTACTATATTACTGTATACAGTATATGAATTGTCATTCAAGCTGATTCACAAAAGCGCGATTCCTTTTCCTCGGTGGAAGAAAAATAGAGACAATGCCTGTTTCGAGTAGATGATCGTAGAAAATGTCTATTCAAGTTGCGAGGAAGATTGCCAAAGGTTTAAATAATAGTCGATGATCTATAACAAGATTCGAGAATTCGTGTGGGTTAATGTCGTGCTTTTAATGAATTGGCAACGACCATTGGAGAATGTCTAGATACTTTTTGAGGGCATTTTTTGTTCGCGAGTTTAGAATCGTGTGCTGATTTTTCGCCGTTCTTCCTAATGCAAGGAAGTGTTGTACATCAAGTGGATAGATGGATTAATGATATTTGATGAAATTTGAAATTCCTTGTCCTTCAAACTCACCAAGTGATACAGACCAATGTTTTGTTTAATTCCACATTCTTTTCGATAAAGTCGATACTTCGGATATTCTTCTCCCAAGTGTCTTCCTTATCCCGTTTGCTGGTCAGCTCATAACTTTCGTCCTCCTCGTCATCACTTGACGAACTACTGCTAAGCCTAACAGAGTCCCAAAGTATCTTCATCGTTTCTTCAATCTGCGCAATTACTTCCGAGTTTTCTTTTGACGCTTTCTCGGAAGTTCCATTTTTTCTTTCACCTCCGGCATCACCGTCAGAATCGTTGCTGCTGTCGGTGTTTCCGGTGGTATTGTCACTATCGTCATTGGCCAAGTCCTTTGGGGTTTGTCGGATGTTGACTCTTTGAAATTCGGAGTCGTGATTTCCAAGACAGTTTCGAGGTTCCCTACTGCCTTCTTCAACAACTTCGTCGGAGTCAATCTCCATAAAGTCATTATTGCTTTTGTCCAGTTTCTCGTCGAAACTGGTCTTATCAAACCGTGAGTGGCTATTCCCACTGCACGTGTTCAAAATCTTGATTCGATCCTTCTTGCTCTTTGCATTATTCGCGCTTCTTATATTGTTACATGATATTAGATTCCCATGATGACTGTTGGATCTATCATGGTTTTTGAAAGTTCCATTTGTACCCTTTACGATAATATCACTATCGCGATCTTGATGCCTTTTACGTTTCCTTTGATCGTCACGGTGAACAAAGCCTCGATCTCTCGAATCACCATTAATATTTCCGTTTCGCCGGTGTTTTCTTGAACCGATATTGCGATCATACGCGTCTTCTTGACATCTGTCAATTTCATTAACGGGTGGATATGTGCGACCCGAAGAACCGGGCCTGCCGCCATGCTGATCCCAGTATTCATAAAGCAAATCCTGCGCGAAGCTGTCAACCGAGAGTAACCGTTAGTCTTCACGATTCTAGGCATTATGGCCTTTTTCACATGCGTACGTACATGTTACATTCGTCTTCCCACGTGTTATCCTCGTCGGGATAACCCAACCACTTTAAAAAATACTGATATTCCCCCTATTAAAAGAATCAAAATAATTGTGTAAAATTAGTAAAATGATTCGTCCCGCACCGCGTTATTTCCTGCTATCACAAACAAACAGATTGCATGATTCTCACATTCGGTCCAGCTCGATGTGAGACAATTTTCTCGACAAAATATTCATCCTTGTATATGATTTTCGCGTAACCCATGGCTTCAAGGAAAATAAATAATCACAGATCCAAATAATGATATATATATAAGGATGTTTGACGTTTGATTTTTGAAAGGTGAAGGAGGCGAGCCGGTTTTTGATAAAGGAAGAAAAATTCACGGACAAGAATCATACATGAATAGAAATGCACACGGTTGTTAATTTAAATGTAGTGACATGGCATGAACACCTCTTATGGAATTCTTTTTTTTTCGATAAGAATGATTCACTTTGCGCTACAAACCATCTCACGATGAATCTCATAAGAGGATGCCCGGAGTTAGTTTAGTTAAAGGTTAGGTGGTTTATCATTCTATATTTATCTAATGACAATTTATAATCTGCCGTTAGATTCATGTTAATCACATCAAGTTTTCATGACTTCATCTTTCTCAAAGCTTTGCCAAAACATGTGATGCACAGTAGTTTATGAGCGTATGTAAGAAATAACAAATTAATAATTGATAATTCGTTTTACTAAAATTGCAGGTTCCAAAAATTGTAATAATGTCGAAAAAATCCATAATGAATAAGATGTATAAGATGTAGTATAAAGTTTCAGTACAACCTACTGTATTTATTAAACTCTAGGGAGGGGGGTTTTTTTTTTAAAAAAGTTTACTTAGATGTCGAATAATAACTTCAATATACAATACAGTATGTGTTTATCTTAATTAAATATACTAACGTTACGAACCATTTTCATGATACCAATCAAATAATTGTAATTTGCTAATATCACTAATCTCTTATTGATAACGGATTGATAATTCATAAAAATATTAGTTTAAAATATAAATATATACTGTATATACTGTATTTACTGTCATAATAATTAATCAATTGTTTTTTATTGGTAGTTTCTTTTTATCAAAATTACTTTAAGGGATTTTTATATATAAATTTAAAATGGTTTTTTAAATAATGTTATTGGAGCTTATGAATGTATCATAATCTTAAATTTTATAATATATCTCATTATAATTGTAGTAAATAATAAATAGTCATGTTGAAAATTTGAAATAAGAAAAATTAAAAATGCAAGCATAACTTTTTTTTTCTGATTATTTATATGGTTTATTAAAAAAAATTCAATGGGTATTGATTGATAATCTAAAATTTTGATTTAAATAACATAAGTTTTAAATTAATTTTTTTTTAAAATATGTTTACAAAGTATATTAATTTCTAACTCTTTTTAATGAGCAAATATTTCTTTCTTTAATTGATTTGTATATTATTTGATATATATTATTAAAAAACAATATATTTCATTATATGATATCAAGTAGTTATAAATATTTGTTCAAAAATAAAAAGACAAAAAATTAAAGCACAAAATAAATTTAAATATATACTTGTTTGGAATGACTATAATTATAATAAATAAGTACAGTATATTGGTAACAATAAAAATCATATCTTGTAACTTGTTGATTAATATTATTTTAAATAAATATTAGATTGAATTTTATTTTACACTTATTGATTAAATTGAAGGTAATGTTTTATTTTATGTAATTTTAATGAATAAAATGATATCAAGTATTGTATAGTATAATTTTTGGATAGTATTATAAATTAAACTCAATTATCAAATTTAATATAAAAAATTTATGGTTAATAATATTTTATAATAGTTTGATTTTTTATCAAATATAAGATATTAATTTGCAATAAAAAAAAATCCTTTTACTTATATTTATATTTGTTAAAAATTATTATGTAAGAAAATATAATATTTTTTTATTCTCTAAAAACTAAACAATTAAATCTTTATATATTTTTCTTAATGTTCTTATTATTAATATAACCAAATACTTAATTATAATTGTTTATAAAAATATTAAAGATATACATAATTTATATTACTATGTTTATCCTATTATTTGCTTTTTCAAATTTAAAAATCTATTTAAAGTTTGATTAATTTTAATTCATCTTCAAAAAAATAATTATAAAAATTTAAAAATTTATATAAATATTTTTAAAATTTTAAAAAAGCTATCATATTAATATTAAATAACTTTTTTTGATTTTATATAATTAAATATTTTCAATTATTTTTTACTTATCAGTATATCTTTCGATTATTTAATAAATATAAAATCAATATTTAAAAAATAAACTTAATAATATTATTATTAAAAAATTTAAACTTTATTTTAAAAAAAAATTAAAATATTTATATATTATAGTTTTAATTAAAAAAAAAACAATAATTATAGTATACAATTTAATTATACATAAAATATACTTTATATAATAACTTTTAAATACAATAACAATAACTTCTACTTTTATAAAAATACAAATATTAATTATATAATATATAATAAAACTTTTTAAAATTATTTGTTTGTTTATTATTAAAAATTATTATATCAAAATTAAAAAATATATATACTGTATATAAGAAATTAAAAATTTAAAAATTGTATTAATATAAAATTAATAATTAATTTTTTATTTATTATTTTAATTATTATTTAATATATTTTTTTTATTAAATTTATAAATATTATTTAAAATATTATTATTATAAATTGTTCTAATTTTGAAATATTATGAAATAATTATATATATATATATATATATATATATTGATAAACATCAGTTCTTTATTATATATATATACTGAAATATAGTTAAAACAAAAATCTATATCTTTTATAATACATAAGTTAAATGTTAGTTTACTATAATATCTATCTAAACTAAATTAGAAAAAAAAATTTTAAACTAATATACTATCTAAATAGTTGTACAACAAATAATACAATTTAAAGAAAAATAAAAAAAAAATAAAGAAAATAGAAAATTAAATATATATTAATATTAAGTAAACAACTTTTCACATCACAATTTTAACTTATGCAACTATGGAAACAAAGAGGGGCTGATATAAGTATATACTTTCTAATAAATGCTTTGAAACTGTAATTTTTAGTTAACATAAATTACCAAATCTAAGGATTCAAAAACCAAATGAAATATGACTCCAAAATCTTCTAATAGATACTTCAAAGGATTTGATTAGTTTAAGCTGTCAAATCTAGGAACAAAAACTGTCAAGCAAAATACAACTCCTACATACTCAGTAAGCTGTCAGTACTGCCATATAGCCTATATATTAGTATCCATATTATTGTTCTTTTCAAAGTTATCTATTTAATATTAACATATGATAGGTTGTTGATAATGATATTGTTGTTGTTATTGTTATTGATATTATTGTAATAATTAATAATACAATTTTGGTGATTTATATTTGATTGGAATGTAATATCAGTTTTTTAATAGAAGTAAGCTAATTTCAGTTTTTGTTATAGAGAGAAAAGGAAAAGAAAATTGTATCTGTGACTATAAGCAAAAAAGATATCAAACCAAAGGCCTTTCTCTATACAACCTTTATTCACAAGATGCTCAGACTTGAAAAATCCAATCAAGAGTTCTATCTTTATATAGCTTGAGTCTTTATAACCAAACTCTTAAGGTTGGCTCATATGTAATAAGTTTTTAATATATGGAAAGTTTTTTGTATTGATATTGGTAAAGATAACTCTTTGTCTTAAAAAAACGTAACTGGTCTTTCATCCAATAAGTTCAGGATTTAACCTTCTGCCTGTAACACTTGAAACTACTCAACCTAAATCTCTTAGGCTATAACAGGAAAAAAACAACCAGTTGACTTCTTTAGAAGATAATTTTTATTTTTAATAGTAGTAAAGGAAGGGAAAAGATTTCTTTTTAGAAGAAGAAATAACTTGACAAGCTCTCCAATATTTGTCTTATTAAAGTTTCCTAAAAAAGAAAGTTTTTCAAAAATTTGAAAAAAATGGAAAAGAGTTTTTTATTTTTATTTTTATATTTTTTTAATAACAATTCAAAATTTTTTAATAAAATATAAGTTTAATTAATTTGTAGATCTATAGAACAGTGATTAATTCTTTACAAATCAAATTACAAATACTGATTCAATCCTATATAAGAGTGGTTGAATAAAATTAATATAGTATCTGGTATATATATTACTGAAATTTGTAAATTCTTGATACAATTGATACAATTATTTGATATAATTAATTAAGTTACTATTAAAATATATAAACAATTAAGTCATTATACAATTATTTTTAAGAATTTTAGGAATTGAATCAATATCAAATAATTTATATCACATGTATAGTATCTGGCATTATAACCTATCAAAAGTACTATTTTTTATAAGAAGCTATTTCACATACTAATTCAACAAGCATTCAAATTATGATTTTCAAAAAAAATGTTATGATACAATAATTGTCCAGTTGACATTATAATAATAACTGAAAGTTGTAAGATGTATAAGATGTCTGTTTCAGTAAAATAACTTGATAATCATTTTTTCATAATATCTGGTGTCCCTTTTTACGTTTTTAGAAAAATCTTATTTCAATCCAGTAATAAATCACTCTAACAGTTACTTATCCCAGAAAGGTAGTTAAAATAGCAATAAGTATTGATAATTAAAATAATTTATAAACAGTAAGTCTGTAAGATAAGTTCCTTAAATGTTCTTGAATAGCTCTAGAAAGGTAAAAATTAAATAGTATATCTATTTGCAGGTAGTTAAGTTTGAAAGAATTTTCTCTGCAGAGTTTTATTTGTTTAATAAATACCATTTCTAGTTTCTCCTCTTTAAACTTCTTCTTAATATATTCCTGATTAAAAATAAAACTTAACATATAATAATAATACTAATAAAGCTTTAGACATTGGCTTTGATATAAATAAATCTTTGAGTCTATAGTTAATAGCAACAAGTCAATATGAGAGTAAAATCCAATATAGTTTAATAATATCTAAAGTAATTTATAGATAGTAACTTCCTGTAATACATAATATAAATATATATAAATTAAATAAAAAAAATGCTAAACATAATTCAGCTAGTCGAGTTAAAAAAAAAATCAAGTTTAATCTATTAAAAAATTAATTTTTAATTTTTAAAAAAAT